AAAAGACAGCAACCAAAACCGGCGCACGAAAGTGCATGGTTAATGGTTGTTCAAACTAAACTGAACTGAAACTCCCTTTGCCGTATGCTATTTGCTCATGTGGATCTCCCCGTTTACTGTAATTCACTTTGTGTAATAAAAAACAAAACAAAAATACATACCGTTTCAAGCATTCTGACCTGATAAGCAAGGACAAAAAGAACGCCACCGCTGTCGGTTCGCTGCCATATCCTTCAATGTCTCCCACCAGCCAGTTGTGGAGTCTTTCGGACCTCGACCTGGAAAGCGAGAGACACGGACTCTACCTAATGGCTCTGTGCATTTCTTCATGCCTCGTCTCCGCGTCTNACCTCCACGTGGTTTCCTCCAGCCCGGATTAGCTACAGCGAATTAGGCGCGGTGCGGCAAACGACAGTTTGGCATACACAATATGTGCCATAGTCAATGTTGCCTACTAATCCGAATTCGATGTGCTAGTAACCTTATCCCTGATGAAGTCCCAAATATACGACGGATTACTTCCAGCTTACTAACCCAGCCACTCCATCTCTTTGCGGGCTAAACTACGTAAACGTCGATAATAAAAAACTTCTAGTCGATGGATATCTTCTGCTCGCAAATTCGAGGTTTCACAGCCATAAAGCAGAATCGAACGAACGGTAGCACAATAAACACGACCGTTTAACTTCAGTGAAACGTCGCTTCTAAGCCGAAGGTGTTTCAGATCGGTCGACAATCAGCCTTCGCTAGAACCCTTGAGATTTTCAATTTAGACATTTTCTCTCTCCGAAGTACGCAGACATGACCCTACTCCAGTCATCATGCTCTCTTCTGACCCAACTTCATCCTCACGCTCCGCGCTTTGTGTTTCAAGCAATCCGGCATCCAGCGCTCGCAGTGCTGCGGTTGTTGGAAGTGTGCTAAGTGCCAAGATCGAGCTCTCGCTTCTTGACCAGATTCCGGTTAGTAGGCGACTTTTCGCTGTACGTCTGGATGGTTCAGTACGGGTTGACAGTCACAGAACGAAGCGTTGGTACTTATTCGTCGTATCGATGTGTGCACGGAATTTTTCATTACACTTCAGTGTGATGAACAGCAGACGAAGCGAACCTCATAATCACGAGGACCTGCTGTTTAGTGGTGGAAACCGGCCACCCGAGCCCCGGGACTTGTAGTGGCGAACCCCATAAGGACCCGATAGGTTAGGCGTGGCATTAAACCGGACGACAGCAAAGCTACCTACCACCAAAGTCGAGAGGCGGGGCGGGAGGCTCGAACTTCGGACCACAGAGTCCAAAGCACACCTGTTACTGATTGTAGTTGAAAGATGGATTCTACAAGGATCTCTTGCAACTGCTACAAATTACCCGGCCAACGAGCGTCGTAGTAGTGGCTGGAGACTTCATTGCTCAAGTTAGGATGGCTTCTTGGTGGTCCACACGCAATCCCAGCCAACCGGACGGACAACCGAGATCGCCTGCTTCAACTTGACGCGGAACTCTTTGATAGCGTTTTAGCTCAATCACCAGTCTAGGGACTCAGTGAATACTGGACTTTAATCAAGGAAGCCTTTCGAATGCCATTTAAAACAACGACGGATTCAGGCTCACTATCAAAACGCAAACGATGGATATCATCGACCTCGGTGTCCCTACTGGAAGCTCGCGAAGCTCTTCCTTCTGATATCAAATATGAGAACGTGCGCAAATCCCTCAAGCGTTGGATCATCAAGAGTCTGAAGAATGACCGCGAGAAGTGGTGGATAGGGAATTATGAAGAGACGGAGAAGGCCGCTGCTGTTGGTAATAGTCGCAATCTTTTTCGTTCATTTAGGAGTAGGGGTCCAAAGAGAGTAGGCATCAGTGAGGTGATTAAAAGTCTGACGGCACACTGATTCGTATTCAGCAACACCATCTGGGTCGTTGGGCAGGCACAGTTCAGTGGCCCCTGGTCGACACAAGACCTCTCTATACCTGCTTCAACTTGGTAAATACTGCCAGTTGATCTCAGTCCTTCATCTGAGGTGGAGGTTACCCGGGTAGTAAATTATCTCAAAAGGTATAAGGCCACCAGCTTTCGGTTCAGATGGGCTGTTCCCATCTTTTTCTTGCGGAAAGATGGTCAGCCTTGGTCGTGGAGTTGACGAAACTCTTGCGCTCAATATGGAAGAGGAAACGGGTTCCAACTCAATGGTGTGTTTCGGTCATCTTACCAATTTAGAAGAAAGGCGAGAAATCCTCCTATGAAAACCGTAGAGGAATTAATTTAATCAACATTATCTCCAAAATTCTCGCTAACGTACTCCGTCGATTGTCTGCCGCATGTGAACCAGACTGGTTTTAGACCTGTTCGCGGTTGTACCAACCACATTTTCACTCTCCGTCAAATTTCAAAACAGATACTCCTTCCGTAGACCTACCACTTCCGTCTCCTTTCTGGCTAGTTTGAATGCCAGTGTAGCCATGTTCGATATGCGTGTGTTAAAGTGTTATATGTCTCTACAAG